CTCCACAGACCTCCAGAAAATCATAGAACTGAGCTAAGGGCCTCTCAGCCGTGGGCTCTGCTTCACAGTGGCCAAAGAAAGGACTGTCCTCCTCCTCACGCTCCCAATCTTCAACTTCCACTCCTGCATGTGAGCGGAGGATGCTCTTGGGCATTGTATCCAGGATGACATGGCCCCCCTTGAAATCACCGCTCTGCCACAGGGCCTCAGCAACTCTCTTGTCTACCTGTGCCTCGCAAAAAGCACCCTTGCCCATGGAGGCGTCGGAGCAAAAGATAGTTGTGGAGACCTGTGCCATGATGTTGCTAGCCATCACAGGCAGGAGAACCCCTGCAAGCACCAATTCATCAGATGCCTTTCGAGGGAGTACCCGTAGCTTCGGGTGGTCAGTGTCCAGATCCTGCGGGCTGATCACCTTGAAGAGCTCTTGAAAGATTGCCATGGTGCACTTCCTGAAGCAACATGCTGAAACTAAGGCCCCCATCATGGAACTGTGTAAAGCATCTGTAGTGTAGGCGAAACGAGCCGCTTGCAATGCCACCCAGCTTAATGAAAGAGCAGGGGCCCCAACAGGAAGTGTTCCTGACTGAACTCCTGACGGCCTCGAATCAAGCTCTGCCCCAACAACTGTTGCCAGGCTCTGATCGACCACATCCTTTGCATCCGAGCCTGCGAGGCCCGCCTGGGCATAAGCTTGCTTGGCGGTGATGAAAGCCTGGTGAGCCTTGCTTGGTTTGACTTTCTTGCTCCTGAGCTCTTGTAACGGGACCGGCGCTATAGTGAAGTAATCATCAATGACCAAGCCCTCATAGAGACCTGTGGGTCTGACCAGGGAGGACGTCTGCAAACGCCCTCGGCCCAGAAGTAGGCCCTGCTCTTGCAAAAAACCCACATGTGAAGCAATGCCAAACTCTACTCCAAGGTGATCGCCTTGAAGCACCGACTGAAAGGATCCAAAGATCTGAGAATCGGGCTCTGTCTCGAACTTCCAGGGGCGAATGCCGTTGAGGAGATCACCATGAACTGTCCTGTCAGGAGGCTTCTTTGCTTGGGCTGCCCGTGCCATGTAGTCATCATAGGCTTGGGTGCCCTGCAATTCCCCCAGCTTCAAGGGGGGCCAGACGGCGTTTGTCCTGGATCTTTCATAGGTAGCTGCCATCTGGTGGTAGAAGTCTGACCGGTCTGTCACACAGACTTTAACTCCGTGACCTTCAGGAAGTATCAGTCTGGTAATCAAAGGGCCACAAGGAAGGTCCTTCGAAGGGCCCGGGAGTCGAGCCTCGTAAGCATTCTGGAGCCGCCTGTCGCCTATTTGGCGATCCCACTCCTCGGACTTGTAGGCATTGAAGATCTTAACTTTCTTCTCGGGACCCTCCGGGAGATGTGAAGCCGGGTGCAAGGCCAGCAATCCAAAAGAATCCCATCGTTTGAAGAGTTTGAGCACCTCTTGCGGCGACTCGTTCTCTAGGTTCGGCTTCCCTCTGGTGTAGACAGGGGCGTCCAGCTCCAGCAGTTGAGGCTCAAGGTACCCCATCTGGAACTCCGGAGGCATGTAGGAAACTGCATTCCATTGTCCGCAACCCGAAATCTTTAGCCTGTCTGACTGAAGGCTGCCAAAGGGAGAGAGCTTTGGGTGTTTCGTGTTGTCGGCCGGAACTGAAAGCCCTTGACGACCAGTATGGTATGGGCTCGAGGAGAGCCCCAATGCATCAACTGCCTGTGCCAGCTCTTGTAGTCGACTCAGCAGCAACAAATTCTTTCGCCCAGAACTTTCCACATGGATCGGCTTGTCCTGGTCACACGCTTGCAATAGCAGCCGAAGATTCTCCAAGGCCTGAGACTGGACCTTGTTTGGCTGCCTCCGGATGAGATCAAGAGGAGGAAAGGAGCTGGCCATGTAGACATAGTTCAAGGCGCAAACCAAAACATGGAGTGCTCGGTTGATTGCCAGATCTCTCTTCTTCCTCCTTGGCCCTCCCGGGACCCAAGCCGCATAGGGAGCGAAGCTCGGCAGAGGCAAGGGAAACAAAGCGGTAGGAGATGACTGTGGGCCATCTCGGCAAAGACGGAGAGTCGAGGCCAGGTACTTGGAGAATGCCGTTTTGGCTGAAAGCACCCACCTCGTTAGGCTCATGCACCAAGTCTGGAACGAGAAAGACAAAGTTGAAATCTCATCTTTCACCAACTCGGGTCCCTTCACGGGCTTGAATTCATACCCCTTGCCATCATAGGGCTGGAAGCTAGGGCCAGTTCCCGACCTGCCCTCGGTGCCTCGAGGTGGGGAGGGGATGGTGCCTGGCAAAGGGTTGTCCTCCATTGGAGGCTCTGGTGGACAAGGGTTGAGGGGAGGACCTACTGGTCTTGCTGACCAGCCGGTGTCTCGCCTGCTTGCTTCTGGTGCCAAGGCTTCTTCTTTGGCTTCGCCTTGGTCTTTGGATCGGGCGGTGCGGCTTGTGATGACCTTGGGGCCCCCCCCAATTTCTTGCTTCTTGTTGGAGAGGACCTCTGTCTCCTTCAGGAAAGCCAAGGCTACCGTAGCCCAGCTCTGTGCCACCAAGGGAGCAAAAGGCCTCTTCGCCCCAGTTGCCGTGGTATTGCGGTTCATCCATAGGTTCGAAGGAGGATCGTCCAAAAGTCGCAACAGCCAAGGTAGCTGCCACGAGTCTCCCCCGTCCTGGTTGGCTTGATCGATCATCACACAGGTCAAAGCCAGATGATCTTTGACCGCCCCCCATTGCTCTTTGGCTGCGGCATCGTAGACATGAGCCAGAGACCACATGATGAGGCCCAGGCCCCGGTTTTGGCCAAAGCCCCCGAACTTCTCCAGGTAGGACAACATTGAGACGGCTGCCGCATCGCTGTCCTGCTGAGGGATAGGGGAGGTAGGTGACATACGCCGGCTCATGCTTTGTGACACCCTCAGAAAAAACTGCCCAGTGCCACTGCTCAGCTCCCTCTGCAACTTCTCTCGACCCACCGCTCCCTTGACTCCCATAGTGCTCGAACTGCTGGCCAGCTCGTTCATTGGATCTGCACTGCCCACCTGGAAATGCGACACCAAAGCTGCTAAGGCCTTGCTCTGCTCCAACAAAGCTGCTGCAAGAGGGGAGTCGATGGGAGTCAAAGGATCTCCGTCCAAATCTCCCGGATCGTCCTCCGGATGAAGTCGCTGGGCCTTTGTTGGCGGCTGCTTGGGAGCCCCTAGGGCTCTGGTCTTGGGCGGAGGGCCCATCGCCTTTGCCACCTCTGCCAAAGGGGCTGTGGGGCTGCCTAGCAGGGAGGAAACGGGCATGCTTGCGCTGGATGCCAAGGGTGGCCGGGCTGGAGGTACTGGGGGGGCCGGGCTCGGCCTGCCTTTTCTCCAGCCGGGACTGCCTCTGGGATAGTTGCGTCAACTGGTCCATGAGGGACGGGAGAGCGTTTGCAATCGTCTCCACCTGGTTTGCCAGAGAGGCCACAGTCGGCTTCTTCGGCTTGGGCTTTGGTTCGCCTCCGGTTGTAGTGCCACCGGGAGCTTTTGCTGGTGGTGGTTCTGCTGGCTGGCCCTCCTCCTCGGTTGCAGTGTAGAAAGCTGCCCTCTCTGACTGATCTGCCTTGAGCCAGTTCTGAACCTGATCGTAGAGGCCTTGGAGAGTCCGGAGACACCGAAACTGCAGGGGCGTAGAGGACAGTGTAGGGGCCAACCAACGGTTCTTCGCCTGTTGAGATGGTCATATGACGATCCAAAACTTCCTCTTCCACTGCAGCGGCCGGCAAGGCCAGCAACATACCACCAGGCCTGCGCATCATGACGAAGGCGAAGGCCGAGATCTTTCCAGGTTCCACTCCAACTCCTCCTCCATGGTCCCAAGTGAAGAGGACGGGAGTGGTTCCGCCCTCCTCGACCACATTCTCTGTCCTCAGCTCGATTTGTGAGCTGGAGGGTACGCGAGGCCAGCGGCCTCGCAGTAGATCTTAGCTTCGGCTTGTGAAGGAAAGCCGTGACAGATGGCGTCTGTGTCCGACACGACCGACCAGCCGATGAAGTTCGGCGTAGGTTCCCACTCTGGTAGGCGTGGAGATCCCTGGCGCCCTGAGCACAACGTAGACGGCCGGAGAGAGATCGATGTCCCAGGAAGGCTTGGGTTTTGCCACGTGCCCTGTAAGGACCAGCTTTGCCCACTGCCCTGCTTCCCAGGCTCGACGAGCTCGATATTCTTTGGGGTACTTGCCTCCGTGCAATGCCTTGCAAGACTCAATGAGCTGCCACGGACAAGGAACCAGGCTACGAGCCAAAGTATCGTAGTCACCAAATGGGATGCCTGCAAAGAAATCGGGCTCCTTCTGGGTGACAGGCTCTGCTTCGTCCTTGCTATCGGCCTTGGTGCCGTCCTTGACCTCCTCCTCCACCAACTCCCAGTTGCTCCGAGGGCTGCTGGCTGCAGCCGCGGATGACTGTCCCCGTGAGCGGACAGCTATGGTCAACTCCTCAATGGCCTTGACTAAGCTGCCAAGTTCCGATGATTCCGAGCTCATGCAACCCGGTAGCCCTCCAACCTCCTCCTAGCCCGCAAAGCAGCGGACTGCACCACCTGATGAACAGGAGAGGAAATGGGCTGGCCAGCCACGGGGATGAGAAGCCAAATCCAAAAGGCCGAGGAGATCAGAAAGCCGAGGAGCAAGCCAAGGAGCCAGGAGAGGGCCAGGGACGAGAAAGAGGCGGGATGGCAGTGCAAAGGACACTGAAGGCCCCAGAGACCTGTTTGAAGGGCCTCACGAAAAAGCAAGGCGACGTTCGTCGCCCCCTCAATCCACATGTGACTTGAGAACGTCGAAGCGGCGGTAATTACAATGTCCACCGTGTATCTTGCAAAAGAAAAGGCGGCTGTCTGATTGGATGATTTTTGCCTGCAACACCGCCGCAGAATTGACATCAACCCTGACGGACACTCTGCTTAGCAGGGTTAATCTTGCCGGACTCCGTCGAATTCAGTTGTGCGTACACGGAACAGCCAAGCGGCCTTGATCTTGGGCTGTCTGCTGATCTTTGACTATGTCACCTTGGCCAGGACAGAATGGCTTTAGGGGTATTCATCGATTGAAAACCAGCTTTAGAGGAAGATGTTTTGAGAAGGCTGTGGCAGCAAAGTTTGGACACCCAAATCGCCATCTCGCAGGAATTGAGAAGCCAACACAAACAGAGTGTTCCTCTGGGAATCCACTTCTGTGGCTGTGGATAAAGGCCCCTGAATCTCAGTGAACGACTGAATGACAAGCGTTTTCAGGGGATATCATCGATAAACCCGGCCCGGAGAGGCAGACCCCATGGCCATCCCCAGATACCCGAATACGATTCTGCATATCCAAGAGACAAAAACAAAAGAAAGCTCCAAGCAATCCGGAAAAAAGAAGCAAGGTTACAACTATAAAGCCTTGGTTCTTGTGAACTCCAACCTTATTATCTTCTGCCCGTTTCTTTGCATGAAAACTACATGATGTTGGAGAGATTTGCAAACCGGACAGGTGCTAATGGTGGCAAGAAACGTCCAACTACAGCGCCAAAATGGGTGTGGCCCGGAACTCTAGTTTTCATGCACCCCCCAAAGACCTTAATCGCCTTAATCTGCTGATATCACGGGCCGGGTGCGTCCATCTAGCACTGGTAGATTGTTCATCATCATCTGTTCCTGCACATACTCGTTCTATTGACAAACACAAAACATTCAACTAGCTTTCCTGGGGCTAGTTCTTTGTCCCTTTGCGCCTTTTCACAGTTTTCTGCAATGTCCACCTATCTTCGATCTTCGCTCCCCGTCACAAACACCCAGTCCACCCAGGCGCAGGATTCGTGGGATTCCCACCAGCTAGCACATCCTGCAATGGCATGCAGGGCGTCGGCTTCCTTAGGCTGGGACAACGGCATTTTGGTGGAGAGAATGCATTTCTTGTCACCAGACTGTCCACCTCCAGTCAGGGCCCTAAATTCATCCAAATTCCATGTATGACTTACGACTCATAACCATTTTGAAAAGTCTACTAACACATTGGGCTGGGTTGACCTTGTAGACCCAGCGGCATCACCCGTTACCCATTCGACAGCGCGAGACGGCGAGAGGACCCTTCCGACCTCCCTTTTCAAAATGGTTTTATCTGAACCAATTAAGTTGTGGCTCATCTTCGGCGTGCACATAGTCAATGCTGAGACCCAGCTTTTCGAAGATCAGAATGCCAATCAATTGTGCAGTGAGCGCTTGGCTTTCCCAGAGGTTCTGGCATCGAATAACAAAAATGCGACAGCATGTCACCCCTTGCGGGAGGAGCTCCAAGATGCATGCCAAGGGGATAAACCTGTTGAAGACAGGTGTAGAAATCCAAGTAAAGTTTCAAGTCTTACTGTACTTCTCTTGCAGTCCTCACATCGCCACCTCTCCAAGTTTGGAGGTTTACGTCATTCCACCCCCCCAAAGTGTCCTGTGGTGCTAGGAGTGTAGACGTCCCACATTTGTAATTTTCAGCATGATGATAACTATAACGGTAATAAAGCATACACTTTAAAAAGAAAAACAAGGATAGTGATAATGATGATTATGATAGTGACAAGCAAACAGCTTTCCCTCGGCTTTGTGTGTCAAGGCGAGGTGGCTTCACGATGTCTACATAGTGCTTGGAAAGCTCGGCCGGCAAAGCTCTTTGCAAAACGACAGGGTACGGTTTGATGAGCTGTGTGCCACTGCAAAAACAATGACTGTTGAACCATCTTTATTAAGTCAGTTGTCGTGGACGACTCCTGCTGTTGATAGTCCGATAGTCCTTTCTTCTAAGGCACCAGCCTTGACTTGAAGCCCAAGAGACTTGAAGCCCAAGAGACGCTTTCTGAAAAGGATACGAATAATTTTGAACGTCTAGAGTAGTAGAAACTTTTCACTCGTAAATTAATTCATGTTAATTCCTTTCCTTCCAGCAGGTCTATGATTGCAAACTCCCAAGCTATCCCACACATGCCCGCATGTCCCGTGTTATCCATTTTGTCCAACTCGTTTGCCTGGCAGCGAGCGATTCGCACTGCTGTTGGCCACAAATTATGATCTGGCCTTTTGGCGGGGAGCAACGGTTGGTGGTGCTTGTGTGTGTGCGCATCACTGCACCGAAAGCTCAGCATTCCCCTCCGGTCTTGAGCGTCAACTAAGCCTGTTGAGTGAGGCTGAACCAATAGAAGCATAGAAAAACAAGTATAGGATCACCTTCATGTCTGATCAGGTTCTTGTGGAAGAATTTGGAATGGGGCCGAAGCAGGAGGTCTTTCTGATGCGAAACAAAAACAGCTCTTTAGCAATCCTTGTGTTTCCAAACAAGAACATTCATCAAACAAGCCCTCGTCAGTGATTCAGTGATTAGTGATTGCATTATCATGCCTTATCCAACTTTTGGGCGGTCGTCAAACAGTCTTGTCGTTGCTGCTATATTCACACGAAATTTTGACACAAAGTATGTTTGTGTTCAAAGGATGAGATCAAAAAACATGGAACACAAATGTTTTTTCATTGCCTCCTCCACACAGACATCTTTCACCAAGTTGCCCCTCCACCAGCAAGGTCCGGCTGGCGTTGGTCTTGTCTTCCAAACAGATTTCGCAAGAGTCGAAAGTGCAAGGTGGATAAGAGTCCTTCACAAACCAATCAGCACCAAAACCCCACATCATGACTTATATCGTTCTAAACCAGCAACTCTACTTCTCATCCAACCACAACCATGGAACACACACGCACACGGCACACGCGACTGAAAAAACATTATTTTGGGGGGTCCATCTTAAAGTTTGGGAGGGGAGTTGCCTTTTGCTTTGAGTTATTCCCCTTGTCGACCGTCCAGCAAAAGCCATGGAACTGCAGAGCAAAAACTTTTTTGCGCGTCTCAATTCGGGCAAGAATCAGAATTTGTAGACCCGGCAATCCCGGCAAACCACAAAAGTTGCAGCCTCAAACAAATGCAACAAAGCAGAGTCACAACCCCTGCAGGCATCCAAGTACGTGTCCACTTTATTTGCGCGCCTCATCAGCAGCTCTACATTATATAACAGCGTGCTCATCTCAGCAAGCGAGGTCAAACAAGAATGACTGCCTACCTTTCTTGCTCACAGCCCGCACGCTGCCACAACGTTGTGTGTGTGGCCTCGGACCTGAGCCCAACGCACGCACACGTTCGCCCGAGCCACGTCCAAAAATATCGGAAGGCCCCTCTTTGTGCGACCTTCTGACCACCCTGGCAAGTTGAGCGGCTTGCGCGCGAGCCGGCTACAGTCGAGACAAACACACATGGGCACCAGTCGTCTGGCCAAGTATAAACAATAATTGCGGACTTTTGTTGAACCTCAAAGGCCTCACAGTATGCGTCTCTGTACATGAGTGTATGTGAGTGGATTCTTTTACGCACTCCTCCTTGGCACGTTGCAGCTTTCAGCTTATCGTGCCACTTCTTTAGAAAGGAACCTCGTCGCTGTCCATGAAGGTCATGTGTTTCTCCATTCGAGCATACATTTCCATCTTGCCTTCATGCTCACCTCGCTGGTTGAGCTCAAACCACCTTCTTTCGAACTGCAATGCATATTGCTTGGCTCTCAGGCAAGAACGTGCTCCAGGAGTGTCATACTGCATCACTTCATGGATCTCAGCGTCAGTCAGCCATTTTGTTGTAGGCATTGACATGGTAAGGTCCTCGTATTGTTGTCCCTCATTGTTGTTGGCTCCTGGGGCATTTGATGACCGCCCAGGTTCTTCTTCTTCTATAGGTATGGGTCCCTCATCCTCACTCTCTGGCTCTCTTGGTTGCAAGTCACCCGCTCTCACGGTAATGACCTCTCCTGAGTCCAGTCGAACTTGTACTTCATCATCTGGATCATACTCCCCTTCTTCACTCTCAGCAGCCGTCAGGGTGCTGTCCCTGATGTTCAGATGGAGTCTTGTCTGAGCTACATTTGCCTGGAGATATGATTTGACCTGACCATCAAGTCTTCTCAAGTCAAACTCCCTGTTGGTGTCTTCAATGTAGCTCCAATGCCTCCAATCATCCTCACCAAACTCCTTGTCATCGACATAGCCAGAGGCTTTGATCAATCCTCTGTGCACTCGTTCCACGTACTTCTGGGGTTTTGTCAGCCCTTCTTGAGCTTCATGACCATAAGCTCCCACCGTCATGCCATTCACTTTCTCATCATCCGCCACACTCTGAAGTCTGGCCTCCATTCTCTCAAGCTTCTTCCAGAGCTGGTAGATGAACAGGATCATCACGCAAATCACCATGAACAAGATCACAATACAATGAGCAACTTCATCCAGCCGCTGTGTTGTTCCGTAGGTGTAGTCATGTCAACTTCACCTCTCTCCCCAGCCACGTGCTCAAGGCCTTCGAGAAGTAGGATTCGGTTCAGCAGCTTGGCAAGTCTTTGGATTTTGCTCTTGTTCACTGCTCTCTCTTCAAGGTTATAGTGCTCCTCCTGGCCAATCCTCTCACCATTTCCATTGTACGTCTGGCACCAATGCAGAAAGAGATTCACCCTTGCTTTCGGCAGTGGTTTCGTGCCCAAGTCAGCCACATTGGAAACAGTGCCTACTGCTTTGACTTCAAGACCTCCTTGTGCCACCATATCCTGGATCCACAAAAGCTTTCCAGCAATGTGCCGAAGTTTGCCTGGACCTTTTCGGTGGCATAGATGGAGTGCAGCTGAGTTGTCTACCAAGCAGTAGTGCATGACCTCCTCCTCAACAAGGAACTCAAGACATCTCCTCAAATAGATGCCGTCTGCTGCTCCACTGACTAGTACATTCAACTCGGCCTCTGCTGAGCTTAAGGACACTGATTTCTGACCTCGGGAACTGGCCAGCATGACTGCTCCATTCAGCATATGGATCGCAGCGGATGTAGACCTTCGATGCCCTTTTGCTCCTGACCAGTCGCTGTCAGTGAATGTCTCCAGCAGCCATCCTGTGGTCGTGCTCCTTGTTGAATGTCCATGGCCAGGATCTGGATACGGCAGTAAACTGTACTGTCCGATCGTGCCCTTCAAGTAGCCGACAAGCTTTCCCAATCTTTTCAGGCTACCTGTCGTTGGTGCAGACATCACTTGCTCATATGTCCTTCTCAGGAAGGTAAAGGTCGTGCCATTGTCAGACAAGCGCTGTTCTGAGATGTCAAATCTCTTTCGAATGCCCGGGAGGAAGGTATTCTCCATGTAGTCCTTGGTGCTCACGTACATCACATCATCAACGTGAATGAGAACCATCATCTGCTCATCCTTCCGGCCTAAACATGGATTGATGTCTGAGAACTTGAAGCCTCGCTCCTTCAACCAATCTGTGAAGTAGTCGAACCATGCCTTGGCCCCCAAACGTTGGCCTGGTAGGTTCCTCTTCACCTCATAGTACCCTCGAGCTGTCTGCACTTGTGTAGGTTCTTCCTGGGGTACCTGAAGGAAAGCATCTTTGACGTCCATTGAACCCAGCCAATAAGGCTCACCTCCACTCTTTTCTTCCATCTTCTTCGTGAGGTAGATGATGGGAAGAAGGCGTAACGTCTGACCTCCGGTTGCTGGGCTATGCACGTCATCTCGCCTGTCCACAGCGTACTCTCGTGCCACCAATCTTGACCTTCTGAGAAACTGCTTGGGCGAATTTGGAAGATCTGGTCGGGGCTTCACTCTCCAGTCTCTTACAAATCTGGTGGGCAGCTTCTTGAACCCAACCTTCTCCTCTTCCATCTTCTCCAACACTCCCATGCTCAGAAGTCTCTGCTCCTCCACGGCATCAGCCAACTCATCGATCCAGAAAGGGGGATCTGGTGGCACTCTTTCCAATGAGGCTGAAGACCACAACTCCTCTGGAATTGACACCTTCTGGGAGCCTTCATTTTCTTCTTCTCCACATGCTAAGATCTCCTCCTACTGCTGTGGCTTCCACTCTCCTCTCCATCTGTGAACCACCTCCAGACGTCTTTAGTCTTTCCGGCTCAGACATCTCTCCTTCACTCTCATGCACGGGCTTCACCGGTGTCATCTTTAACCTTTTGGCGTCTTCTTCACTTCCAAACTCATCTTCTGTGCTGAACTCCTGGGAGTACTTGTTGGAATAGAAGGCCCAGCCTGGTTTCTCGCTTCGTCAATGCTGTGGGCATCTTGAGTTCTGACCTCTGGGATGACGATCTTCTCCTCTTCTCTTCTGCCAACTTCTGCTCTTCAGTCAGCACCTCTGGCTCACCGGACTTCCTCTGTTCGACCTCCACCAAGTCCTTCACTTCCTCCAACTTGCCAGCATAAGACTTGGAGAAAGCTATGATTTCACGCGCATCATCGTCATCTAGGGCTATTTCTTTGCGTCGGCTGTTGGAAGTCCCAGCAATGGTCCACCAACCATGGTTGCCACTCACTTTGAAATCACAATTCTACCCCCAAAGTTCTGCTGGAATTCCCATGAGTAGGCTGTGAAGGCCTGGTAGCATGCCAGATAGCGAGCGCTAGCATCTGCAACTCTCCTCAAGGACCTGCTCAGAAACACCCGGTTTCCATCTCCAATGACCCATGCGTCCTGCACTTCAGTCTTGCCCAGGCAGATTCCTACCTTCCACCTCGGGTCGGCCTCGAAGCCTTGCTTCTGCTTGGAGTAGGCGAAGACCACTTCTCCAAAGGGACACATCTTTCCATCATAGGCTTTTCCATGCGTCAGCTCGAAGCTTGTGGTACCTCTCAACACTTGATACCTGTTCAACGTCCAAGCTGCATGTCGACAAGCCCAGGACCACAAAGGGTGTTTGTGATGAAACCTTAGCCCGATCTTTTCAGCCAAACTCTCCATCATGGAAGCAGCTAGACCTCTCACTCTATGTACTGCGTTCTCAGCCAAAGAGTTTCCCGCTGAATCATAGAGCTTTGTTGTCCTCATGGTTGTCTTCAACCCCATAGCCGTTCTTGAGGAAACCAGAAGACGAACAATTTGTCTGGCTGTTGGCTCGTTGTCGCAGTAGTACTGCACAGCTTCATGTCCCAAAACTTGGGTGAATGCCAGCAGCAACTCATGGGTGATGAGGTTCATTTGGTTCTTCGATTTCAATGGAAGACCCAAGAAAGACCCTGTCTCTGAGCACACAGCAATCAGCCAAAGTGCACCGCTTTCTCCATCATGGACACCCTCCTGGGCCTGATCCTCCTCCTCCTCACCGCCCAAAGCTTCTGAACCTTTCGCTTTCACCTTGCAAAAGTCGAACGAGATAGTGGGGCAGCCCTGATCATGCGATTTGCCACTTCTCCTGCGCTGGTCTGGTCGTGCTCTATGCTTGATGCAAGCTGGACACCAAGGGGCGTACGGGACGTGTGTCAGCTCGTGAGCTTTCCTCTCAGCTTCTGTTGGGACTTTAGCTGCAACTTGTTCTAGCGGGATCCGCTGACTCAGAGCTTGTCCTCTTGCAGCCAAATCTCTTGCCATCATCAGCTCAAGAGCTCATGGTGGGCCACCAGCCTGCTAAAGCACTTCTGCTTGCCTCCGCTCTGGCGCAAGCTGCTCTCAAGCTCCTCAATGGACTCTCCAGCGTCAGAGTCACATCGTTCACCCTGATCTCTTCCGGGACAGCCACTCCAACCTCATACTGGACCATCTGGTCATCGAGGTCACGGCCTTGCTCTCCACCTTCTCCACCGGGGATCTCAGCTCCTCCAATGTCCTCGAGCTCCTCGTCGCCAGCTTGAGGGATAGCCAGCTCTTCCATGTCTTGCTTGGGACCCGATTGGACTGCACTGTCGATCTCAAATCCAAACACTTCAGGGACCGTTCCTTCTGGAGCCACAAAAGTCATCACTTTGCTCAGACCGACCTCTCGAAGCTCTTCGATTTCCTCCTCTTGCTCTTCAAGCCCGTCCAGGGGCTCAGCCATTTCCACCAATTCCCAACCACCAGATCGTTCTACAAGGGTTGACCTGCAGAATCCTTCACCTTGACCAGGAATGAATTGGGGACTCTGAAACTTGGTGCCGAGATGCAACCCTACCCAAAATTCCTCTTTCTTCTTCCATCCATAGCCACTGTTGGCCATGCTTGCCCTTGCTGCTCAACGTGCTCTCGAGGAACTTCCCTGGGAAGATTGATGCATCAGCACCTGAGTCGACAATCACTTTGAAAGATTGCCTTTCTCCACCTTCTTCGTAGAGCTCCAAGTTCACCTCCTCATTGTCGGTCTCGACTACTGTGTTCACCATGTAGTCGTCATACTCATTCTCATCATCTGAGGCGATGTTGAAAAATTCAACTTGACTCACCATTCGAATTGAACCAGCATCACTCCCTTCTCTCAAGTCGAAGATCACTGGTTGTGAAACCCGCCTGATGTTCTTGGCGGTCGAATTCATCTCACCAACTCCACCACTTGTTGAACTCGTCGTCAAAGTAAGTAGTCGAAGGTGAGGTCGTGTGTGAACCTGCAATGCTCTGAGTAGCCGGCGCTTCCACTTGTCTCACCCGCCAGCAGTCTTTGGCCATGTGGCCGGGTTTGCCGCAGGTCCAACACACTTCACTGGGATTCCTCCCCTTGCCACTTTTTCCTTCCTTGCCACCACCCTTGCCTTTTCCTTCTTTTCCACTGGATTTGCCGCCTTTGCCCTTGCTCTTGGACTTGTCATCCTTGCCTTTTGACTTGCCCTTCTGGTCTTTGGACTTGCCCTTTCCTTTCTTTCCATCGCCCTTGATCCTGTCGATCTCCATTGGCATCACACCGCTTGGATCAATCGCTGTTGGGCTCATTCCAGAAAAAGTCAAAGCACCTGACTCATTCCACTTGGCCGTCGCGGTGTCAAAGGCGATGATCGCTTCTCTGATCTTGCCATAGGAACTGCCTTCATTCAGGGTCAAGTTCAGATGAGTTTTCATCTGGCCGGACACGGCCCTGAGCAGGACAGCAGATTTCATGTCCTGGGACAGCTTTCCACCCAGGCGCTCATACTGCACGTAGTGTTCTTCCAACTTCAGGATTTGAGGCAGCAAAGAACTCTTCACGTTGAAACTCGGATAGGACATTATGCCCTGCAGCAAGCTCATGGTCCTGTTTCGGGCTTGAGGTTGACAGTTCATCAACAGCTGCCTGAGGGCTTCCATGCCGTTGAACTTCTCCACATTCTTTATGACTCCTGTCAACCTTCCTTGAACCAAACTCCCCAACAAACTGTAGAGAAATCGACTCCGTTGCTGCTCACCATCGTCTAAGAGCTCCCAATCCACCTCTGTTCCAGAGTTGGCCTCAAGCTTCTCTAGCTCCTCCTGAAAGGCACTGTCCACCACCACCAAGTACTGTTTGATGGTCCAGTACCAGTCTCTCCACTGCAAAGCTTCCTGCTCCCTGTCGAGGGGGTTGAACGGGCTTGGCCTCGGTATCAACTTAGCCAGATCCTTCTTCAACACTCCATGGTCCTCACCGGATCCTCCAGCATGCCCACTCGACGCCGCCGCCTGTGCTGCTTGAGCAGCTGCTGTTGCAGCAGCTATGACTGCTTGCGCCAGGCCGCTCATCTCTGACTGATCCATCTTGCCCTGGCGCTCTTCACCAACCTCCTCAGTCAGCAGCTCGTAGACCTTCTCGAAGTCCAAGGGGCGTCAAAGGCAAGGATCTTCTTCAGGTACTCTCAGGCAGGGATTGCGAGCAAGTGCTACACCAGTTTATGGCGAGGGGCGCTCTTACCCTAAGGCCTTTAAACTGGAGCTCCAGTCAGCGCCAAACCTTGGGCGCTGACCTTCTCAGCTCCGCTACCATGCGGACTTTTGTTGAACCTCAAAGGCCTCACAGTATGCGTCTCTGTACATGAGTGTATGTGAGTGGTTTCTTTTACGCAATAATTGATAGCGACCACCTCGACATCTTAAAACCGAAGCTGTGGTTGATAGATATGTCCTTTCGGCCCTCATACTTCTCCACAGCCAGGAATTGGGCGTGGAAACCGACCGGATTCTACTGATTTCCTTCCGTTTTGGCGCCCTCAACATGGTTGGGAGGTGGTGGGCGACAGGCACGCGTTTTGTGAATATAGAGAGGCTCCAGAAGCCGCACAGGCACGCGGCGACCACGGCGACAAGCACGAGTTCATACGACAATTGACCAGCCCCTTAAGGGGAAAGGGTTTGTCAAAATTTTTGGTGGAGCAACTCGCGCAGTTGCAGGCTTGTGGCACCATTACATACAGCCAACTGCGATACCGCTTGCACGGGCTCAAAACTCAAGAAAGAATCAAATAGAATCTAAGGAGCCGATCGAATGACTTGGGACACCTCTACAGCAAGCGACGCGCGTTGGCTCTAACGCTGCAAGTCCCTGCGGCAATCTTGTCCTTCCACGATTCTGCGTAGTCACGCGACACCCTTTTAGAACTTCCGTCTTCTCTTCACGATTCTGTCGCCAAAACCTGCGCTTGTCGACAAAGTTTTCCCGTTACCCTCCTTATCCAAGAACACCTTCTCTGCTCATGTCCTCATTCTCTCAGAGCCCTCCACTTTGAAGGGCTCGGCTTAGATCACGATCCCAATTCCTTTCTTCATATCGATTATGCTTCCACACTCATCTGGTCCTTTTTGCTGTGCGTTGTCTTGGGCCGATGAACAAATTGCCCCCCATCAAGTAGTGCACGATCACAGCGGCACCCTCCCACGAACAAGGTCTTTCGAAACATTTCGAAACTGAACTGCAAGGATTTCGCCTCACGCCCCATCCCTTAATGGCGGACAACCTCTTCCTGCAATCTCTTACCTGCCCTTCACATGCACCAAATTTGAGCCGGTGTGGCAGCTCCTTGATTCTTGGTCTGAGCTTTGGGCCACTCGTGTTCACAACACAGTTCTCCACCTCGATCTGGTGAGCCTCCATCTCCTTTCAGCTGTCGAACTCGCATGTCCGGCCGGCTTGTCCGCCTTGAAGACTTGCTTTCTTTGTCTGCCTTGACCAACATGCCCAAACCAAATCTTCTAGTTCATGAGCTTTGGCCCTTCTTCTTGGCATACCTGCGTGGCCAAGTCACGCACAAACTTGCGCGCTTGCCTCTACGATGTTGAAGGCCGTAGCAGCCTGGTCTCACAAATCGCGAAGCCTCGGGGCAAGCTTGGCCGTGCGACCGCACCCTCAAGATGATCCAACAAAGTGTAGACCCCATCGGCCGTGCATCCCATTGTGGATCCTTCAAAGTCTGCCTGTGACCTTCAAAGTCTGTCTGTGACCTAACCGCCCGTCAAGCCGTTTCCGCCAGCCCACGAGGCCATCGAATACTGCAAAGCTTCTGCCCTCAATGCTGCGAACAGCCCTCAAGAACCATTTTCACCGAGCCATCACTTGTCCTAGTGATAGCCAGCCATCTTCACCGACAGGCTTTTTGCTACACACCTGAGGGGGGTCTTCGAACCTAAAGGGTCCTGACACTTGAAACTCTGGAACGGCCAAATGGTTCCTATCAGAAACCAATTTCTTGGAAGAGCCCACACGCTGTTGCGAGCCCACCCAGATTCACCTTGGAGGACAACAAGCAACACTATGGCCTATGGCATTCTGGATTGTAAGGTTTCATGCGAAGAAGGACTTCCGTGGCTGTCAGTCAAAACAACACGTCAGGTGAACAACTTGTCTAGTCTAGCCGTCTAGCCTGTGATCACATCCCATGGTGTAGTGGTCTTTCGATCCACCGCTGAGATCACTGTTTGCAATGTCCCTCAACTCAAACCCGCCGAAAGAAACTGTTCCCTGCAGTTCAGGCAGTGTCTTTCAAAAACTTTCGCGCCTCCAAAGAAAACTGGCGCGGCATCGCTGTTTGGCACACCTCCTTCAGAGGGTCCCAAGACGCAGCGTTGAGGGTGAGATGCACGCAACATGGTCCGCAGCTGACGCGGGAAAATACGCAAAAACATGTATCCTTTGCATGATCTTTGTTGGGCAAAATAGCTTTCATCACACGGCTGATGCATGTATGTGTTTGTGTAAATGATTGGACTAGGCTATATATTGAAGCCTGAACAGCTCCGGACACAATCAAGTCAGCTAGATGCAAAAGCCAAACCCTGATGCTCAGCACTTCCTACACTCTGATGCTGACCCTCTCAAAAATACCTACAACAATTTGATGGATTCCCGAAGAAGGGGAAGGGAACAAATGAGCTTGGGACACCATCCTAGCTTTTGTACGGGCCTAAAGTGGACATCCAAGCGTCGACATAATATGTTCATCCAGCAAGAGCTCATGCGGAAGACCTTCTACTCTCTCTCTCTCTCTCTGCCATGGAACAAATGGATGCAAAACAATTTGCTACAAGCATTCTCATTACGCACCCTCAGAAGTCTGAGTCAAGTCCTATCCTGGCAAAAGGAAGGCCTTCAAGAACCCTGAAGTTGGATGAAGTTAAAGTTGGTATAGCTCAATAATGGTGATCCCAAAACCCTCTACTGGTAGACGCAAAAGCAACCAAGACTCTGTTCCTCTCATCAATTGAACCCTAAGTACCGAGGCTCCAATGTGCTCATCTTTCTTACAGTTGCAGGTACACATTCTGTTGTTATGGTGAACAGTGCGAACACCGAAATTCCCTCCACCAGCGTGCAGCACTGCTGCAGCACCTCCAGCACCCGCTCTTCGATTAGGGTAGAGTAGACCTGGGCATTTACAAACTGAGAATCCAACATGGCACGTTTCTAGTGGATCAATGGTCTGGTCAACAGCCTGCTTGTAGAGGTTCCGTGCCCTGTGTATTTTATGTCATGCGGGCGCTGGGCGCAAAACCTGGGTGAATATCAATATCAGTATTCAAAAATCTGATAGGTTGGTGCAACGTCTGACGAATCATCAATCATTCTCAACGAAGTACAGACCAATAGTCGGGCCTTGTAAGCAGGTGAGGCAATATCAGCAGCAACAAGCACAATGAAATCTTGGTGACCAACCCCCCCATCCTTCATTGGGAAGATCTAGGCGGAGATCAAATGGTCGCGAGTCTTCCTGCCTCTTCCAGGCGCTCTTGGATCTGCACGTTCACCACCTACCACAATGCAACTTGACAATCAAGATTTGGTGAACTTCACTGGCATGGATTATCATCGACTTCCTGCTAACTGGGGTCCCTCTAGCTTGAGGCAATTACATACGAGGTTTCAAGCCAAACTGCGGGCAGAGGCCACGACCCAACAAACAACTCGAGTCGACCAAAGAAAGCATCAAGTCGAGTTGTTGCATCTCAAGTTTGTTCTTTGAGGCACAAACTCAAACAAATCCGTCGTCCCTGTGTTGTTTAAAGCCAAGGACATTTATACAATGCAATCGCAAAGTCTCAGGCTACCAGCAAATCCTCACTGAGCGCTGAAAGGCTAAGTTTATCATTGAGATTGAAATGGATAACTATATACTGCTAAAATCCTCCAAGTTGTGCTTTACACAGATCTTGATTCAGACTTGCTAGCCGACATTCCCAGATCTCTCCCTCTCTCCCTCCCTCCCTCCATCCCTCCCTCTCTCTCTCTTTCTCTCTCACTCTCCCGCGCTCTTTGCACCTTCGGAACCTCCACCGGCACAGGGATAGTTTGGATCTTTGGCACCTTCGGGGCCATCGGGACATTTGAGGCGCAGCAAATCAGCAAAAAAGAGACGAACAAAAGATTCTGCAGAATCCTTCAACAGGAATCCTTCCGTGTCAAGATGGCGATAATTAATTCTTCCCTACGAGCCTCAGTGATAGTCTCCACCACTGCAATCTCCGCCTCCTCCACGGGAAATTCTTCGGTCAGCACCTGCGGGAGAATCAGACTCAAAGTTCGGGCCTTCAAAGCATTCAAAAAGGAAAGATTAAAACATTCGGTTGCGCCTCGGCCTCAACAGAACTGAACTTAAACTAGCCCCTGCCCCTCCCTTAAGTTGTCAAGCGAGTACAGCAACTTGGACATTCTGGAGTAATTACTAGCCATGCCCGCCATGCCCAAGTCACAAGTTTTCGTCCCAGCACATCTCTTGTTTGTTTTTGTCTCTGTGTTTGCAGGCCGTTGGGACTTCCACAATCTTCTCTGTGACCTCCAAGGTGTGCCGGGGCACCTGCCAAAAGTAATGAAAATCAAGGTGTCTGCGCCTGGACCCTTTCATACCCTTTCAATACGGCCCCCGTCAAAAAAGGCCTTGAAGGGGAGCTCATTGAGGAGGCCCAAACACCTGCTTTCCTCCTCTATAATCCTATCCCTTTGAGTCAAACAAACAGCTCCGCGCAAACTATGTTTTTGGATCAGGCACCTCTCATGTTTCAATTTGCTAATACTGGAAATGGGACCTTCTGGTAATCACTGTGGCCGTGACATTTGGGCTTGGCTTTCTCTCTCGGGCTTGACTTTGGTGGTCAGCAAAACAGCTCATGGAAGCAAGATGCTGGCAAGGGCTCGGGAAAGCCAACCAGCCGGTGAAGGAGTGCTTCGTGTGTGGCAAGCCAGGCCATCCGGCCACCACTATCACCACAAGCTCAAGTCAGGCTACAACCAAGCAGCCAGGCATCCGCATCGAGTTTGTGGGGAGGTTTCACAGGTTTCACATGAATTCGACACCCTCATCTTTAACCCGAGGCCGAACGCAGGTGATGGAGCTATCAGGATGATCAAGTTCTTGGCAGCGGACGACAAGGTTGAGGACAGTGGCTCAGAGGAAGAGCTGGAGTTTGGAGTGCGTGTGGTGCAGGATGAGGAGGAGGGAGAGCAGTGCTTCGAGGACCACGCGGGACTATGTCAGGTGATTGTGGACTTGGGGGCCGGTGCAGCGATCTTGCTTGCCTGGACCTGCAGGCAGGGTCAGACCTTTTGGAGAAAGCACCACGGTTGCAGGATGCACAGGGGGAGAGGATCCCCATCAAGAGGTACAAGAACGTCAGCTTCGTCTTCCAGGCTGAGGATGGGAGAACGGTTCTCATCAATAAGAAAGCGCATCTTGCTGAAGAAGTTGTGCAGCCAATCATCTCCTATGGGAAACTCATGGAAAGTGGTTGGGGGATTGACGGCTGTGACCATCCATTGGTCTTTGGAACAGCCAAGAAAGGCCAGGTGCGGACTGCGTTGAAACTCCAGAACAAAAGGTTGGCGGGTGAATATCGTGTACGTTCTAGGGGCTGAAGCTCAGATCAATGGAGGGCCTGAAAGCACGGCTTTTCGAGGAGTTGGACAAGAAGTCCAATTTCCAGAGTGGCTGGAGACGAGATGGTGAGATGTGGATTTGGGCACACTGGGGCGGCTCACTTTTGCAGCAAATATGCTTGACTTTGGCAGAGATTAGAGCATCACAATGTTATTGTCCAGTATACTTTATGAGGCCGTATATAATGTTCTAAGTATTGCTGTTCTAAGTGTGCCTTTCTTTTGATGTTCTAAGCATCTCCAAAACACTTTGAATTGTGTTCCTGTTTTAAGTATCTCTCCGTCACTATGCCCCTTCCAGTGAACACAATTGCAGCTGGCCAGACTCGGTTTGGCGCTGCCTTTCTGTGGAAGATATCGGGATTGAATGCCCTCTTGCCAACCAACCGTGTGTAATCAAACACAACTGTGTATGTATGAACTGCTCAGAGAATTAAAATTCCTGGAATAGTCAAATAGTGGTAGCACAGCTACCCGCTGCCCTGGAACTCTGGCTCTGATCAAAAGCTTACGATGATTCAGAAGCCCACCCGCGGCACGTAGCAAGCGACGGTTGCTTCTCAAATTTCTTGCGTTGGAATTTACCCAGGCAACCGGACAAAGATTGTCGCAGATTTGCTGGGCATAGGTCCGGCTGGAGTGAAACCAAACAGCTAGCTGACACCCCAACATGCAAAAGGTGATGAGTGTTCACATTTTACACTCGGAAAATAGGGTGGGGTCGAAAGGAAGCTTCACCAACCCCTGATTTGCCTTCTTGTCCACCACCTGCACCTGAGGGCTGCAGTCATCACAAATTGTTCTCCATTTTTGGAATCCACCAAGCAATTTGACCACCGACCCATGGACCAGCTCGCTTCCCAATACACAAAGCCCACCTTGAACGCCCAACAGACTGGTCAAGGTTAGAACCCCTTTTGTGCAGTAACATTGTATAGGGAAATACGGTTCCTTGGGTTCTCGGTTGCAGCCACCCACCCGACAAGAAGAAATTTAACCATGAACATCACCCAACAACTCACTATATCGTTCGCCTCTTCTATATAATCATGAACCGAATTACTGGTCCATCGAAGGGCAAAATTGCCTTGAGGTGATATTGGCTGGATCAATTAAACAGGAACAAAAACAAAAAATGCGCGCGTCGTTTGCGTATCTCTTTTGACTCTTGACATTTGGGTTTCCCAGACTCTGGTCACCGGCACGTGCCGGATGAGTTCCCGTCGTTCCACCTTGCTCGATGCTTGTGAGCTTGTCGTGTGCTTGTATATTCCGTGAACAGAAAAAAACAATCGCTGTAGAAATCATGTTCCAAGCACGTCCCAATCATTAAACATCGAACTACCCAACACAAACTTATTTGGGCGGCAAACCACTTGACATGAACCAAACGAGTCTGGTGTTCAGTCTTACGCCTCTTAGACTTTATGCCTGAGGCTCTCAGACACACTCAGCTTTATATACCAACTCCAACTTTGAGTTGCTCTGTGGGCTGAGGAAGTTTGACTGTATTGGTGGATCACATATCCCCACCTGAGGGACCTCGATGATACGCTCTTCATAGATCACATGTGGTACCTGCGTGGCAGGCTGTGCTAGGGCGCGACCACATGATATGCTTGGAGTTCCTGAGATCGCAGGGAGGCAAACTTATATTCCACCCAACACGGGGAATGGAGTTGATGCGCATGACTCATGTCGTGTCCTTCATTCACCAGCACACTGGCCGGCAGAACTCGGCGCATACTTGGGGGGACATTTTGGACTTCTTACTGTGGGTTCCAGCGACATGTCAAGAGCCTACAAAGGTCAAAAATAAACCACTTTACTTCGAGTGATTCCCACCAAGGCATTTCCATCGGACAACATTTTGGGCATGTATTGAAACATTGTTTCGGCATTCTTTCTGGCATATCTTCTGACATTCTGTCTGACATGTTTCCAGCATATCTTCTGACATTTTTTCCTCTGACATTCCTTCTGACACAATTTCCGGCATATCTTCTGACATTTTTGTTACGTTCTATCTGGCATATCTTTTGACGGTATTTCTGTGTTTTTTCTGACATTCATTCTGGCATATCTGCTGAAATTATTTTTGTCATCTCTTCTGACATTCATTCTGGCATATCTGCTGACATTCTTTCTGGCATATCTTCTGACATTCTTTCTGGCATATCTTATGACATTCTCTCTGGCATATCTTCTGACACTCTTTCTGGCATCTCTTCTGGCATTCATTCTGGCTTTCTATCTGGCATATCTTCTAGACATTGTTTCTGACAGTCTTTCTGGCATATCTTCGGACATTCTCTCTAACATTCTTTTTGGCACTCTTTTGACATTCTTTCTGACATTCTATCTGGCGCATCTTCTGCGTATCTTCTGACATTCTTTCCGGCATATCTTCTGCCATTCGGAGCTGGCGGTTGAGGTCCTGCGGGGAACACCGCCGTCCAGAACTGGCGGTTAAGGTCCTGCGGGGAACACTGCCGTCCCGGAGCTGGCGGTTGAGGTCTGGCGGGGAACACTGCCATCCTACACTTGCGGCTGAGGTCCAGGCGGAGAACACTGCCATCCGACACTCGCGGTTGAGGAGGACGAGGAGGAGGAGAGGAGGAGGAAAAGCATGAGGAGGAGGAGGAAGAGGAGGAGAAGCACGGCAGCTGACATAAAATCTAACAAGCAGAAAAACACGACGGTCTCTCCAGGCTGCGCAAAAAGAAAGAAAGAAAACACCGACTGCTTGAAGAATAGTTGCCCCAGGTTCATATTTTTCCGCGCGCTGGGTTCCGAGCCTCGATGAGCTTCTCAATGTATCTGATTTCATGCCGGACCACCTCCTTGTCAATGTACTGGACCTCATATTTCGGCACCTGGCACAGCAGGAAGTCTTGCTGCCAGGAGTTTGCGCCAACATGGGCCAATCATGTCTCTTTGGGGCTTTGATTTGTCGGCAATATCAACGACCCATGAGATGCGGGGTCGTCAATCCAGGCATCAGGCCCGTCGAAACCTCTTGTGGCCAACAGCTGGCAAGTTAAACGCCTGGCGGATCACTTCGCAAATTTCCACGTCAGGTATCTCTACCTCGGCGGACCAGCACCAATGTTTGGAAAGTGGAATCCTTCTTGGGAATTTTATCCTGGCTAGCTGTCAATAATGGGCTAGACAGATCCGTGTGTATATGTATACTGACATCCAAGACAAGGGGCAGTGAGAGCGCTGTTTTTGGTTTCTGCGTTGGGGAAATTTGCTTGACATGTTCTTTGTCTGTGTGCGACATTAACTTTCTACTGTTGTCTGCCTTCATGCCACGCGCATCTGAAACCTGCCTCAATGCCATTTGCAGTGTGAGAAACAAAAACAAAGCCGCGCCAAAAAGAACAGCCAAAACCTGCGAAGCTAAAGCAAAACAAAACCGATAGTAATATAGCAATACTAAAAAGCCATTCTCACGATGTCTTTGCCATGCCTCACCTTCTGTGCAATTGGTTTGCTTTGTTTTTCCCCACCTGTCAGGCGAGGGTTGTTAAAATTTATGTCCTCGTCCTCCTCCGCCTCCCGGACGGCAGTGTTCCCTGCCGGACCTCAACCGCGAGCGCCGACGGGCAGTGTTCCCCGCCGGACCTCGACCGCGAGTTCCGCGTGGCAATGTTCCCACCGGACCTCAACCGCGAGCTCCAGCTGGCAGACTTCCCCGCCGGACGTCGACAGCGAGCTTCGGCTGGCAGTGTTCCCCACCGGACCTCGAGTCAGAAGATATGCGAGATAGAACGCCAGAAGGAATGCCAGAAATTAATGTCAGAAGATATGCAGAAGGTATGCCAGATGGGGCGCCTGGTTCGGGCGCCTCGTCGCGTCAGAAGGCTTCACTGCTGAAAAGCAGCGGACGCTGCTGAAGACGCGCTTCACTCCAGGAGTAACTTGATGTCCATCTTCGCCGTCTGGGGATGAGTTGGGTGTTGAGACCAGGAGCTGAAAGGTTTGGTCAGAGCGGTGTCTCTGGGCGATGGGGTTCCAGAATTGTAAGACACAGCAAGCGGCCACCCTGACAGCCTTCACCAAGGCCAGCCCAGCCACTGGCTGCAGCTGCAAATTGAGCTCCAAGATCGACCACAGCAGCCGATCCCGTGCCCGTTGCCGGGCTGGCAAGGGCACCCGAACCGAAGGGAGAAGCTTCTTCAGAAAGAATCTGACCACGAAATTCCACGGCACGCACGGCTTGGGCATTTCCTAAGTTCTGAGCAGCCACACCACCGCATACCGCAGCGCAGCTCTCTGGCAAAGTCCAACGCCAGAGAGCCCTAGCTTGAGCCAGAAATCTTGAGCGCGTCAGCTCTTCTCAAGCGATAAGCACATCGAATCTCCAAAGCCCTTCAGGGCTGACGACTTCGCATCTTGCACCAAGCAGCAGGGTTTTCAGCAACTTCCGTCTGAGGGACTTCAATGATCCGCTCCTCGAAGTTTCGATCAACACCAATGAGGAAAACCCTGCACAAGGTCTTATCCTCCGCAAACAGACACGTCAAACTTATTGACAAGAGAAGTACCCGCCAGAGTTTTGGGGAGTCTGTCGTGTGTAGGACTTGTGACTTGTCAGGAAACCTGACCAAGTCTGACCCCCTTCAAAGCACTAAGGCCACCGCGAATGTGCAGGAGTGGAGATGGCGCAAAACCCCATGCGTCTTGAAGTGGTATTTCACTAAAACCTCTCCTGCAGCTCCACGGCTGGCACCTCCACTTGTTTCTCCACCTGCCGGGCGAGCATCGTACAGGAGCCCACCCAAAAAGGATTACCGGTGCCAGTGGCTCATGTAGCATGTGGCCTGACCCTGCATATGTTGTAAAGGAAGAATCGTCATTTTCTGAGCCATCAAGCGAATCGCCTTCTTCGTGTGTGCGCTGCGTTGCTCTAGTAACTCTCTAGTAACTCTATATAATAGTAGTCACTGGATGGAATAAGGGCAATGAAGCAGACACGTTGCCGAAATTACTCGTTGAGCGCCAACTGTGTTCCAGAACAGTCTATCAGGGTGGTTCCCACCGCTCTGAATTGGCTACATGTAGGAAATGGTTTCTAATGCTTTGCTACTTTGGAATGAAGAAATGTCAAGAATATGTAATTTCCATATGTACTGTTTGGAAGTTGAAAAAGTACTACATCTGTTCATATCTGCTCGTCATGGCGGGCAGGACAGGCTGGAGACTGGCCGCCAAATGCAACTCTGACCAGCCAATCAAAGTCAACTTTCAGAAAATATTTCGAAAGGGAGGGGGAGAGAATATGGTCATGGGGGGTGAACGCGAGAGTGCATGGGGGCCGTCACAGGCCTTTTTCTTTTGGACATCGCCGCCGTGTCGACTTCCCCCCATAACAATACGATCCACTCTTAATAACAGCGCACCAGGTTTATGAGTCCATCTACAAAACACGAGAAACAAACCGCAGACAAGCGCCCCTCAGCGCCATTCATCTACCGCTGTTGGAAACGCTGTTTCCTTCGACTTAAGAGAAAGGGCACCCCTAAGGAATCGACGGGCGCTCGCACGCTGTTCGTTATTCTTGTCCTATAGACGGTGATCCGATGTTACAGCCAGGATCAAGTGAGCGTTTAACATAGGGCACAGAGTAGCTTTGTTATGGGGTGAAGTCAACACGGTAGCCACGCTGACGGGTCGTAGAAACCAGAAAGCAGAATACGTAGCACGTGGTGAACAAACCGTTCAAGCCGCTCTCGGCTTTTTCTTGAGCGCGCTCAATCGGTCATGCCCAAGGTCTAGCCACACGTCAATGTTCAAGTGGCAACAACTCCATCCGGTTCCTTAAGACAGATCGCCCCACGGACCTTATGGTGTCCGTCTTGACTTTTCCTGGCGCACGCGGCCTTTCCCAGGCACCACCTCGAAGATCCTGCCCTCTTCCTACCACTTCTCCTCGAGCTCCTTGACCTCATTCCCCACCGCCTTCCGCACTGTAGTGCGCCCAGCACTGAGTCTTACTCAGCCTTGATGGCTGCTTTCGAATGGCCCAATTCCTGGCGAACATCTCTTCCCATCAACCCGCCTCCGAGGCACTCCAAACTCTCGCGCTGGACGCCGCTCTTCATCAGCATCACCCACCTGAAAAAGGCCATCCTTCAAGGGCGTGTCTTGATGCAGTGCACAGATACTTTCCAGCTTCCGTCCGGACATAGTAGCCCCCTCGGTCATCATGGCATCTGGTCCCAAGATCTGGACCTTCACGCGAGCCTTCCGCGGTTGGAACGCCACCAAAGCACCGGTAGTTTGTGGATTTTGGCCACTGCTTGGAGCGCCAACGCTCCCCTCCGGCTCTCCACCGTCTCCACAAAGGTGAGCTGGCGAATCTTTACGCCCTCTTCATACTCAATGCGCTCAGTCAGCGCTCTGCGTCATCACCATCGGCCGGCCGCGCCCCTTCGGCGTCTTCCCCAGCCTTCTGCCGCCTCGTCCACCGGCAACAACTCGCCCTCTGCCCCCTGCCGGTCGCCCTCGTCCGCGGGCTTGAGCTAGGCATCACCATCCAAGGTGACCGGCAAAGTGTAGACACCCACGACCATGTAGCGAGCTTTCTCTCCTTTCAGAAGGTCCACCAAGATCAAACCTCAAGGTGTAAGCATTCGGGCGCGTCACCGCTGCATGCCAGCCGTTTCAAGGCAGGTGCGACATTCCTTTCGGAATGGCTGGTGGTCATTCTTGAGATGAGCTTCCTATTGCGTTGCCATTTTTAGGAATCTTTCAGGCGCTGTTCCGAGGTAGTGCTAAGGCTATAGGATCGCCCACCTCCTCCTGCTTCAAAGCCGCCAAGGCTTCCCACTCCGGGAATGCCCAGAAGCTTGGGCGTTTCTTTTCGCACTCCTCTTCATGGGCATAGGATTCTGGGCCCTGCGGACTTTCCACCACATACCCACCGCTCAGCCACCATGGACCTCAGCTGGTCGGACCAGTTGTCACGCCAGAACCGTGTAGCACCAAAGCGTGTTCGGAAAGGTGGTGGTCCAGGCTGAGTGTGTCGAACTCGACACCGTCCTGCACGGCGGTCCCGCCAAAATCATCTTCACCTTCTCGGAGAGGCACATGTGCAGGATGTAGGCCGCCACATGCTTGGCCAACAAGTTCTGCCCTCGACGCAGAACCATGTCCACACATATAGGACTCGTCGATCTCGGGTCTCCAGTTCCTTCGCAGGTCCTCTCGTCCGGACAAATGAACAAGTGGAGAATGATCTCATCGGCCTTCTTCAGCCGTCGTCTCACACGCCTATTCCCAGGCAGATCGAAGCCGCGCCTCTGGAAAAACTTTCGAAAAACCACTCCACCGTGGTCTTTGACATTGATGCCATCCCAGGGCCTTCACCGCCCCTCAGCACAGCCAATCTGGCCTTTTGAAGCATGATGACCTGCTTCTCAATCTCCTTGATGAGCTGTAGACCCAGCTCCTCCGACACCGTAGGACAACTGTTCTCCAGGTCGGTATATCCAAAATGCGTCCCCAGCTCAAAGGTCCTCGACGCGCATTGCGCTTGATGGCATATAGCCAAGCTCTGCCAGGACACCAAGCGGGGCGAAGTGGCACGCAGCCCCACGCCAACAGCCCGACTGGAAATCCCCTTCAAGGAATTGACACCCAGTTCCTGCGCCAGTGTTCAATCTAGGAGCTAAAGCGTTGATCTTCGGAGCACCATTTTTCTCCCCATATTTCTGTGGAAAGCCGTCTCGCCTTCAGCAAGGAGCGCCTCGGCGAAGCCACCCCCTCCAGCGTCGGGTTGACGTCAACCATCAAATTTGCTCGGATCGCACTGAGCCGAAAGGCCGATTGCCTGGCCACGTTCCCACGCGGCTGCGACAATTTGTCCAACGCCGCCATCAGCAAGGTCGCATCAGGGACATAATTCACCCTGAGCTCCTGAGCTCTTCGAAGCCATCGAGCCACATCTGCAGTTGCGTGACCATCTCACCGGCTTTAATCGACGCTGGTACCCGCGCCTCAACAAGCTGCTTCAGCCCAGCCCACCAGGCTGGTAGCGTACCAAGACCTTGAAGATCACCTGAACTGAGCTCGTTGCCCTCGCAGTGAGGATTAATTTCCACCTTGATTCAAGCTTTCAGGCCAAGCCTCGTTGCTCCAGCCTAAGCCAAGGCTGCTGCTGACACGCCGGTGGCAACTGCGGCATCAAGTTCAGCGTTGTCATTGGATCCGACCTCAACCAGCGACCATAGACCGCCTCGGTCAAAACCACCTCCCACCAAGCACTTGAAGCAGCCGATAGGTCCTTCATCAGAGGAGTGATCAAAGTGATCCAATCCCCTGCAGCCAACGGGCCAATCTCGCCCTCTTTCGCATCCGGCAAGGTCGGCAAGGTGATCGTTCTTACGTTTTCATCACCATGCCCCATCCATGACCAGCCTCGACATGGTCCCACGCATGGACCGCCAGCACCAAGGCACCCGGTCCTCCGCCAGGTCCGCCAGCCACCGGCGAAGCCGAGTCGCCGCCACAGCCACTATAGCGCCGCCGAAGCCGGCGCTGCCGTTGCCGCCCGCGCCAACGCCAATCGCGCCCGCGCCGCCACCAGGTCTACCTCAACCTCCATGACCAACCCGTGCTTTTCTTTATTAGGTGCTCCACCACCTCATCCATCGGGCCCTTATATACCGAACCCCCCATTTCGACTTTGGACCTTGACTTGGCCCGCCACCCATCATGCCCTGCGAGCGACCACCACGCCGAATCCATAGGCGACTTCTTCGCCCCAGGCATCCACCATCCTGCGGCGTGGTCTGAGAGTCCGGCATCTCACCGGGAACTTGACTCCTCGCATGAACGCTCCTCAAAGCCAGCCGCCCGATCCTGCAGCGCTTATACCTTCCTCTGAGGCCTCAGCGCCAGACCCTCCATGACCAGGAGCGAAATTAACTGCGTCATTCGACTTCTTCTCCAGAGCTGCCTGACCTTGGCGTAGAGCAACCATGAAAACCTTCTCGGGCTCGGGTACCATGGTTCTCCTCCACTACCGATTCCCGACCGCAGTGCATCCGCCTTCACCAAGCTGCCCGTTTGGAGCCCCAGCGACTCTCAAGCACCACCTCAGACTTTATCTTGGCCGACCTCTCCCCTCCTCATCTTTCTTCCCGAGCTGAGCTATGCGACATCCTTATGCGCTTTGCTTGGGCTCATAACCCACGTGGTGAACAAACCGTTCAAGCTTTCGGCTTTTTCTTGAGTGCGCTCAAGGGCTTCGGTCGTGCAAGGTCTAGTTATATGTTTAAGTGGTAAGAACTCCACGTCATGACAGTCATGTTCAATCACAAATGAAGCGCATAGTATGGGGGGGGGGCGCCCTTTCTCTTCGTGGTTCTAAGATGTTTTCAAGCTGAAAAAGGGCGCCCTCAAGGAACTGGCTTGGCTGCTGTTTGTTATTCTTGTCTTGTAGACGAAGTCATGACCTCGGCGCGCCGCCGCCAAGCGCAGATCGATGGAAATCTACTGCGAAGATCACGGATTGCCTAACATCACTTCTCGCTTTCCCGGTGAGCTCCCGACCTCTACTCCCGTCACGGCGTGCCCCCTTTCCGCCTAACTCCCTGGATAGCTCTGAGGGGGGGCGCCCTTTTGCATTCAGTTAACAGCCCTCTTCACCATCACAAGGTGCACCCCCAAGCCACATCGCCTTCCTCGCTTCTCACGGACTGCATTCTGTTCCCTTTCCTATCCTCAACGGATAACATCCTGGCT